TCCCCCCCCCACACACACACAAATGAACAGAGAAGTACAAGACAAAAGTGAATGAGAAAATGAGACTTTTTACGTCTTAGGAGCATTTGGAGGGAAATCAAATTTAAACGCAATCTACTCTGGTTTTTGAAGAGGCTTTGATTCAGCTCCCAAATCTCAACTGCTTGACGTGGTCTCTTAAGAGAGTACTCAGAAGATATCTTCTTAAATAACAAACCTATTTTTAGTGGTAGAGCCGTTCTTAGCCGCTGTGTCTATGTGGGACTGACAGCTAATCACTATCTTTGGAGGAAGTCCTGGCCTTTCCTTGTCTACCCTCCCTGTATGTGTCACAGCATCTGTTTTCACTGTCAGTAGTCCATACTGCTATTTTATCACCTTTAGCTCTGACGTTCACAGCAGCTCCACATACATCATCGCTGCAGTCAACAAGATTCTTCAGTAAGGCACAGTAGAGTTTCCAGCCAAAAGTGATCGAGGTCACTTAGTCTCTGCTGTTTAATGTAATTAGCCATCGTCCCCCCATTTGTTTTTCTCATGTTCCATAGGCTCAATACCATCCTTAAAAAGTGAGTAGTCACAGCCAGGCATTAAATTACTACACACCTTGATATGGTTGTACAGAGCCCAAAAGTCTTCAGCAGGATAGAACTTAGAAATAGTGTTCTGGGTCCCCAACCTCCTGATTAGATTGTTTTTCCTATAGCTGGGAGATTAGGAGTAGGTCTGGTTTCCTACCTCTGGCCTATGAGCCAGCCTTTCCAGTTTTCTTACTGAAAACCTTTTCGTTCTTTTTTATCCATCTGTTTTCCAGTTTCCAAAATGTTATAGCTTTGTCTCTTGGGTTTTTCCTCATGCTTATGGATTTTTAAAAATATCTAATACATAAATTAACTTTTTTTTTTTAAGATGGGGTTTCACCCTGATGGCCAGGCTGGTCTTGAACTCCTGACCTCAGGTGATCCACCCACCTCGGCCTCCCAAAAGTGCTAGGATCACAGGTGTGAGCCACTGCGCCCAGCCTACTTAGGGATTTTTTTAAAAAAAGAATCCGTTTGTTTTATTTTTAATGGGACATAGGGAGAGAATGAAGTTAGATGTTTGTTCTATCTTGATACTTTAACCCAGAGGTCATTTTTCATTCTCTTAGATGTATCTTTAATTAGTAGAAACTCTTTGTTTTAATACAGTCAGATATTTAAGAGAGAGAGAGAGTGTGTGTGTATGTTTTTTGTTTTTTGTTTTTTTTTGAGATGGAGTCTTGCTTTGTCACCCAGACTAGAGTGCAGTGGCATGATCTTGGCTCACTGCAACCTCCACCTCCTAGGTTCAAGCCATTTTCCTGCCTCAGCCTCCTCAGTAGCTGGGATTACAGGTGTGCACCACCACACCCAGCTAATTTTGTATTTTTAGTAGAGACGGTTTCACCATGTTGGCCAGGCTAGTCTCAAACTCTTGACCTTATGATCTGCCCACCTCGGCCTCCCAAAGTGCTGGGCTAAGTCACTGTATTTTTTTTAATCTTGTTTAATTCTTTCCTACTGTGATGTCATAAAGATTCTCTGTGACTGCTTTACATAGTTGCCTGGCTGTCACATTCAGGCACAGGAGACCATCCTCTCTCTGCTGATGGGCAGTGCCAGTGTCAGTCACTGGAGGCTCTTTTGGAGTTCTCCACTTGGATGCAGCTTCGTAGTAGTTCCCACACTGGTGAGCAGTCTTCTTATCTTTATCTTTGGTGACTTTGAAGTCAGAACTGTCAGTTCTTTATAGATTTCCATTTGTTTAAAAAAGCGTGTTGGTGGCAGATACTTTAAGCTAGATCACAAGTAAACTAGACATTTCATTTTCTGACTCAGTTGCTTTATATCGAGCTCCATTGCATCAGGGATACAAAAGGGCAAAGCTGCTATTCTGGATTATTGGAAAGACTGGGGAGAAGGGAAAGTTTTAAAAATAGAACAGACAGTTTCATCTTCAAAACAAAACAAAACAAAATCTCTGGTATGGATGTCCAGGCATTCTGTAAATGAATTCTTATGAAAAAGTCAAGTTGGGCAGGTCTTCGATAAGCCATAAAATTACAGTATTTTATGTATTTTGTGTTTGTTTCATCATAGGATTTATGATTGGATGCCTGAACAGCCAAATATATTCCAAGTGGAGCAATTGGAACGCCTGAAGCAAGAATTGCCAGAGCTTAAGAGCTGTTTGTGTCCCACTGTTAGCCGCTTTGTTCCCTCTTCTTTGTGTGGGGATTCTGCTATCCACGTGGATGCCAATGGCATTGATAATGTGGAGAATGCTTAGTTTTTGTTTCACAGGTCATTTTGGGGGCATGCACTGCTGTTCTGGGTATGCATTTTTCATCATTGAGCATTGTTTATGCCTTTTGGGCTTCTCAGTTCAATGAAGCAATAATGAAGTATTTAACTCTTTCACTACAGTTCTTGCAAGAATTTCAAGTATGCTATTTAAGTCCCCTGGCCAGGTATAATTGCCAGTCAGTCTCTTTATAGTGAGAAAATTGATTGATTGGTAAATATAAATATTTTAAACTAAATATATAAATCTATAATGTTAAACAAATGTTTGTAGCACTTTGAAATTAACTATATAAGTAGCTCGTATTTACACTTACAACTTTTCATTTGATCAGGTCTGAAATCTTTAGCACTTGAGGAAAATGACTATGCATTATTATACCTGACCATGGAAAAATAAGTACCTCAAATGCATGCATTTGCACTGGTGATTCCAACTGCACAAATCTTGTGCCATCTTGTATATAGGTGTTTTTTACCTGGGCTGACATGCACATAACACCGTTTTCATTCAGTATGGACCTTGAGGCTGCTGCCATTTTTCCACTTAACCAAACCAGCCTGAAGGTGAACCTTGAAACTTGTTTCATAAATCTTTCAAAAGTTGTTTTACATCAATGTTAAAATTTCAAAATGCTGCAGGGTAATTTAATGTATAAAATATTAGTAAGAAAAAGTATGTATTGCATACTTAGTAGAATAGCTCACAACATATACATTCAATTCAGTGCATGCTTTAGGTTTTAAGCATGGGATTGTACATGTTTACTGTCAGGTCCTTGCATCTGTGGTGCTAGGTGAGTAAGAGAAGATGTCAAGGACTGGATGTGATTTTGTTGCCTAAAAAAAAGCCTGTTTGTAGGCATTTTAAATATGCTTATTTTGTGCGTCTCTCACTACCTATTACACACTGTTGCTTTGTGGGTTTGTTTTGTATATGTGTGTGTTGTACAGTAGTTAAATTTCCATATAGAAAAATAAATGTCCTGGATTCTCATATTGGTATTCTTTATTGTACATCATGCATGTAATTTATTTAGAAATGTGGGTCTTACTAAATGTATATGCATGTGTTTCAGATTATACTAGGATTTATTGGATTAGAAGCAGATTGTGTTAACTGTAACTTAAGAATGAATGTTAAATAAAATGAAACATTTATTTTCTTCATTACAAAATGAAATTTCAAGAAGGTGTTACTTTTGTAGAATGGTTTTATAATATGACAAGAAATGTAAATATAGTGTCTGCCCTAAAGGGATGGCTTATTTGCATCTACCTTTTACTGCATGTTTTTAACGAGGCAGTTTATTCATATATTGACGTACTTTGGTAGTAGCTGAGAGCCTAAGACTTGAAATTACATATTGTATATTCTATTTTAAGCTTAGCAATGCAGTTTTGGTCCGATCTTGTTTGTGTGAAGACAGGCTCTGAAATCCTATGGTATTGCATTTGTAACATTGATATTTAATGGAAAATAGTTTAGGAAATGGAGTCTTCTGCAAGGGTTCTCTATACTTTTCCCACATTAAATGAAATTTTCCAATGTTTTGGTGGAATCGGGCACTTTGGGAAAACTCCTGAGAATGATTAGTTTCCTTCATCTGCAGACCTTTGTCCGATACGGTTACCATTTCTTTATGGTAACTCAGTTAGCCATATTTGTTTGTTTCTAGTCCTGCTCCTTTGCTCCTCGCCTATGCCTTTCCAATGCGGGCTCCGTTTTGAAGACTCAAGGACAGAGGGGAAGCAGATCAGAAAGGGAAAAAAGAGACAGAAGAAAGGAGGTCATGGTGGGTGTGGCCTTCTAAAGAGTTTAGTTCTCTGGAGAGAGCATACAGTCACTGCCTGCAATACAGACCAAACCTTCCTGCTCACTTTCTGTCCTCTCTCTTCCTGACCTCATGAACCAGTCAGTGTTAATAGATGATTAAAGCATGACAAACAATGGCTCCTTACTTCACAGGACTAAGTCTGGGCCTTCTTATCACTAGCTGTTGCCCTTTACACCCTGCTTCAGCCACACTGTCCCTTCGCTGGCCCTGGACCTCCTCTCTGTGCTCGTGTGTCCTCTGCCTGGGAGCCCTCTCCTCCCATAGTTACTTTCTCTGTTCCAAACTCATTTCTTCCTGAGCCCAAGACCTCTCTCCTGGGCCCTTGCGGAAACTCCAGAAATGATGAACCCATCTTTGTGCTCCATGGCAGTTATGCTCATACCTTCTCAGGCTGTGCATCACAGTAGCTCTAAGTAGGCAGAGTTGGTGTTTGTCTCGTCTGCCAGGCTGCGGGCTCTTCAAGGGCAGGGACCTTGTCATACTCATTTATATTTTCACAGCGCATGGAAAATGGTAGAAAATGAACGTTGGAATCATTGGAGTCATACGATTTGTATCAAATGTCCTTTTGAATTAAGAGATTTAGTTATGTTTACTAAGAATGTAAACTTTGAATTGGTTTACATTTTGACAATTGTTAGGATGGTTTATTGATGTGACTTTTGAAATGTAGAGGTATAATGTTAAATTATTTTATACTTTATGGAAATCAAGTGAAATGTTTGACAAAATGCCGCCATTGTCCTCTGGTATTTTCTCCTCTCTGGAATTACGTACTGTAAATGATTGGATGTAAATGTGAGGCACACTGCTCACCGCTACGTGGGAAGTGTGGTGGTTACTCCTGCCACCCACCCACCTCTCTGCCGTTGCTCCTTGTGACACTTGTCTGTCTTCTCCCCGCCAAACTCCAAGCTTACAGCTACCTCAGTACCGCTTTCCTTGTCTGAAACACCTCCTTGGCCTTCCTTCAGTGTCCCGCTCAGGTGCCGCCACCTCCAGCTTTTGATCTGAATCATGATGGAAACACGCAGACAGCCTCTCGGTCTTACTATTTAATGTTATAGCTGGAGTAAAAAAACAAACAAAAAAAACCCAGAGAGTTTAAGTGACATACTGGGTTGGGACTAGGATGTGGGTTTTGTCACTCTTAATCCTATGTTCTCAAACTACGCTGCCTTCCGAAGTCTGGCATTTGTTAGCTCATGCTTTCTTGTAGTCCAGCTTCTTATGTGCCTGTTACATTCGCCCGTAAGATTGTAAGCCCCTTAAGGGCAGGGACCTCTTTGCATCTCCAGCACAGCTACAGTGTTCTATCCTTAGCTATGAACTAGATAAATAAATGGTGGTGGCAACAATCCTAGTTTCCTAACTCAGATTGTTTCACAATAAACATGTAGTCTTGTATGGCATGCTTGGCCATATTGTCTGGAGTGTGTGTGCTCTCACATGTGCATGTGTGTATGTGTTTGCATGTTTACACATGGAGTTCTCACTCTGTCCTGGTTGCTTGGAGTCTCATATTTGTTGGATTATGCTAAAACCAGGTTTTTGTTCCATGCAGACTTGGGAGAAATACAGGGATAGTTAATTCCATTTAAGTGGAAGATAAGGTACAGTTTTCCCCAGGTCTCGTTGCCTCTTCCTGGGACAGTGTACCTAAATCCCACAGTTGGTGGTAGTTTCACTGGTAGTGAAAAAGGTACAGCCTTGGATAGGAACTGTGTGGGCTGAAGGCGGTCATTTCATTAGTCCTGGTGGACACTCATCGCCCTTTCTGCCGAGGCTCGCTCTCTATGCCTCTGACTAAATTCTGTCTTTCACAGTATTACTGGCTTAGTACTCTAGGTTGATAATGGAGTCCTCTTAATTTAGATTTGGATACAATTGATTTATTCCTTTGCATTTTAGTTTTGGATCATGTATTTTGGGGGTAGAAAATAACGTATTTGTATTAGAAATAATGCATGATTTTGGCATTCATGTTTGGAAAATCATTCCAATATGACTTCTTAGTGGGCTTGTAAAATTTGAGATGGGGGTTTGAGATTTTTAAGATGCAAGAGAGCAGATGAATAAGACTACCATGCAGATGTATGTGGAGATGAGGGGAGATGATGGGCTGGAACAGTTGGAGACATCATGGAGCTCTCAAGCTCTTACAGATTGAGGAGTTGGGTCATAGTCTACATAAAGTCAGAGGCCAGGGTCATATTCATGGTGTGTTCAGGGGGAATGAAGGAGCCATCTTGACAATGGGGAATATATTGTGAAATGCCAGAGAGAAGCTTAGCATCAGATAAGAGAGAAAAGTTAATGATTTTTAATAAGGGAAATGACATGACAGGCAAGTGTTTAAAAATAATGAGGAAATGTTCAGGGTGGTGACTCACGGCTGTAATCCCAGCACTTTGGGAGGCCGAGACAGGCGGATCACAAGGTCATGAGTTTGACACCAGCCTGGCCAAAATAGTGAAACCCCATCTCTACTAAAAAATATAAAAAATTAGCCAAGCATGGTGGTGGGCGCTTGTAATCCTAGCTACTCAGGAGGCTGAGGCAGGAGAATCCATCTATCTAGTCCTCTACTAAATTTACCTAAACATGAAAACAGAAATCTGGATAGGATGGGTGAACTTCTGAAGCTTAAACTTGCAAAGTCAGACTACTTAACAGGAAGAAAGCAACAAAATCTCAGCAAAAGTTGGGTGGCATCCCATAGGTTTAAATGTCTCTCTGCTGACCAGACCTCTCCCGTAAGTTCTAGATTCATACATCCAGCTGTGTCCTCATCTCCACTTTAAGGTCTAATGAGCATCTCACACTTAAAATACCTCAACAGAGCTCTTCCTTCCTTCTGCTACCAAACCTGCTCCCGTCCCACCTCCTCCCAAGTTCTGTCTTAGTGTGTGATACCTGGGAGTCATCTATGCGATTAGTATAACAATGTTATGTGTGATAGGATAGCTTGTTTTCTTCAATCTTTTAAAATTTTTCCAAATATTTTTAAATAACTTGATACTTCACAAATGCCAGAAGAGTATGCTTGAGAGTATGCTTGGACTAATTTGCTATATTAAGAATATAGCAGGGGCTGGGTGCAGTGGCTCATGCCTGTAATCCCAGGACTTTGGGAGGCTGAGGCTGGTGGATCACCTGAGATCAGGAGTTCAAGGTTAGCCCAGCCAACATCGTGAAACCACATCTCTACTAAAAATTCAAAATTAGCTGGGCATGGTGGCGGGTACCTATAATCCCAGTTACTTGGGAGGCTGAGGCAGGAGAATCACTTGAACCTGGAAGGTGGAGGTCGCAGTGAGCCAAGATCATTCCACTACAGTCCAGCCTGGGCAACAGAGCAAGACTCCATCTCAAAAAATGAATGTATATAAAGCTCTACATTGTATTTAATTTTATATATGTATATGTATGTATTTCCCTAGGCATGGCCACTTTTTATTCTGCATTCACCTTGATTAGAGTGTCAAAGATCTCTACATTTTTTTTTCTAAACTAGCTTTTAGTATTATTGAACAATGTTTCTACAATCTTATTATTGCCCTTTGGTTTTTAAAATTCCACTTAATTTGGACGCATTTTATACTTTTTCTTGCATCTTGAGTTGACTCTACTGCAGTGTTAAGACAATCCTGGTTCTATAACAATGAAATATTAGACTTTCACCTTGATCATGGAGAAATATTTAAATGGAAGTGAAATAACTTTTATGAAAAAAAACTAGGCGGGACACTGGTTCATACCTGCAGTCCCAGCATTTTGGGAGGCTGAGGTAGATGGATCACTTAAGACCCAGAGATTGAGAGCAGCCTGGGCAGCATGGTGGAACCCTGTCTCTACAAAAAAGACAAAAATTAGGCCAGTGTGCTGTTGTGGGCCTGTGGTCCCAGCTATTGGGAGGTTGAGGTGGGAAGATTGTTTGAGCTTGGAAGGTCGAGGCTGCAGCAAGCTGAGATTGTGCCACTGCACTCCAGCCTGGGCGATAGAGTGAGACTTTGCCTCTAAAAAAAGAAAAGCTCTATACTCCTTAGAGCTGGTGTTTCTATAATAATGGGACTATTTACCAAAGTATACACTTTATTTTTTAGTTTCTAAACTGATTGAATGGAGCTTTCTTATTGTAACTCCTTATAGCATAACTAAAATATTTACTGATAGTGTGGGTAATCCAGAGGAAAACAAAGCAGTTTGTCTTTAAGGTGCTTCTTATTTGCTTGAAGCAGTATGTTTTTTAGAAATACAAGATTATAGTTGTCCAAAAAAGCAGAAGAAGGAAAGTCACCAAACCACACTCCTTTAATGCTCCTTTAATAGCGGATCAGTCCTGCCACCTCCACGTCAACCAGAACGGCTTTGCTTTTACCTGTTCTTATTTTGTTATTTCTGCCAGGCACACTGGAATGGTGCAGTGGCATGAACACAGCTAACAGCAGCCTTCACCTCCTGGGCTCAAAGGATCCTCCCACCTCTGTTTACTGCATTTTAAATACAGATTGAGCCTCCCTTATCTGAAATACTTGGGGCAAGAAATGTCCAGATTTCAGATTTTTTTCCTGGAGTTGTGAACGTTTGCATTATGTGCTTACTGGTTGAGCATCCCGAATCTCAAATCCAAACGGTTCCAATGCACATCGCCTTTGAGCATCATGTTAGTGTTAGCACTCAAAATGTTTCAGATTGTGAAGCTTTCTTTTTCTTTTCTTTCTTTCTTTTTTGGTGATGGGGGGGATAGAATCTTGTTCTGTTGCCCAAGCTGGAGGGCAGTGGCGTGATCTCGGCTCCTTGCAACCTCCACCTGCCTCCCAAGTTCAAGCAGTTCTCCTGACTCAGCCTCCTGAGTAGCTGGGATTACAGGAACCCACCACACAATGTCCGGCTAATTTTTGTATTTTTAGCAGAGATGAGGTTTCATCATGTTGGTCAGACTGGTCTCAAACTCCTGACCTCAAGTGATCCACCCGCCTCAGCCTCCCAAAGTGCTGGGAGGCGTGAGCCACTGCACCTGGCCAGGATTACATTTTTGTCTGTTTTTCCCCTCTTCCAACCTTCTGGTGGTCTTACGGTTACCTCTCCTAGTGGCTCGGAAACCTCCATCTAAACCCAGCTCTATGGTTGTATCTGGTACTTAAAGTCCAGAAGGACGCTAGGGACACTGTACTCCATCCCAGACTTACCAGATAGCTTTCTTTTTATTTCTGATTCCAGGAGGTTTTTGTGTTCTACTTCAGTCTGTTTTTTATCATTATTTAGTTTGTCCAGTTTTCCTGTGTGTTTGGAGCAAAGATTGTTTTTTTCCCCTTTGGCATGAACTCATTAAACCCTACTCATACAGTATTAAAAATCCCTGCCATTCCAGGAGAGTATGGGGTAGGTTTCTCCTTTCCACAGGGGACCAAAATTAAGGATGTGATGTGTGGCTGGGTCAGGAGGCTGAGGAGGGAGAATCACTTAAGCTGGAGATTGAGATCAGCATGGGCAACATACTAAGATCCCCATCTCTACAAAACGCATGTTTTAAAATTAGCCAGGCATGGTGTGCACCTTTAGTCCCAGCCATTCCCCGCTTCCTCCAACCGAAGACTGGGTTTATTAACAAAGCCAAACAAACTGGACTCTTGTGGATCCAGACCGCATCTTAATCAGAACCACCAGAGGACAGAGCAAGTGCTTAGACTTTTCATAACAGAATGACTCAAGCCATTTGTGCAGTAAGATCCACTGGATTTCCGATTCCTGTTTGTTCTGACCTCATTGAGTTTCAATTCTGAGACCCTTCACATCCCTCTAGCAAATTATTTTCTTCAAATATTAGAGGTAAATTCTGTTGCTTACACCCAAAAAAACTTGGCTGATAAGCTGGGCACGGTGACTCATGCCTGTAATCCCTGCATTTTGGGAGGCTGGGTCAGGTGGATCACTTGAGGTCAGGAGTTCATGACCAGCCTGGCCAATATGGTGAAACACCCGCGCTACTAAAAATATGAAAAAATTAGCTGAGTGTGGTGGCAGGTGCTTGTAATCCCAGCTACTCGGGGTGCTGAGGCAAGAATCACTTGAACCCAGGAGGCAGAGGTTGCAGTGAGCCGAGATCGCTGCACTCCAACCTGCCAACCTGGGTGAAAGAGCGAGACTCCATCTGAAAAATAAAAATAAATAAACGTGACCGATAGAACTTGTATCTTTACAGCCATGTGTGCATAATACATCTATAAGCACACAAATACTCAAATATGATTTTACATACTCTGCCTGCAGTCCAGCAACTTGCATTTTCTTTATGCATGTCAGACGACTTATGCACTTAACAGAAAGCATTTTTTCAAGTAGGTTCTAATCTGACTTGGTTTGGGGATAAATTAACAAGTAGTAGACCATATCTCAGGTAACCAAACAGGAGCCCAGCCGGTGCTGCTGCTGCTGCCTTATGGATGGCATGGCTGGCATGGTTGTGTCCTTATGCCTGTTCTGCTTCCCAGTTGCTTCCCCAGCTTGTCTCCCAGCATCCTGAGTCCCAGCTTCCTCTCCTGTCCCATTCTAATGCTCACTACTCCAGGATGCACACTTGTACTTCACTTTCACTATTTTTCTATGACTTCACCTCTCTTTCTTGCAAGACCAGGTCAATGAACTTGACATCTTTTATGAATACTCCAGCCCGTAGCACGATGCCCTTCCTTCCCTCCCTCTCTAAACTCCCAAAGTAGCTAACCACTGTTCACTTGACAGTTGTCTACCTTGTGACCCAGGTGGCCTGAGTCTAGGATATAAAGAATAATGAGGTGGGGCGCGGTGGCTTACGCCTGTAATCCCAGCACTTTGGGAGGCCGAGATGGGTGGATGACCTGAGGTCAGGAGTTCAAGACTAGCCTGGCTAACTTGGTTAAACCCTGTCTATACTAAAAATACAAAAATTAGCCAGGTGTGGTGGCATGTGCCTGTAGTCCCAGCTACTCAGGAGGCTGAGGCATGTAAAAATCACTTGAATCCAGAAGGCAGAGATTGCAGTGAGCCGAGATGGTGCCACTGCACTGTTGCAGCCTAGGCAACAGAGTGAAACTCTGAAGAAAAAAAAAAATGAGACAGTGCTTTTTATGGCATGAATACTTTTTTTTTCTTTTCTTTTCCTTTTTTTTTTTTTAACAGAGTCTTGCTCTGTCACCCTGACTGGAGTGCAGTGGTGCCATCTCAGCTCACTGCACCGTCCGCCTCCCAGGTTCAAGCAATTCTGCCTCAGTCTCCCAGGTAGCTGAGATTATAGATGTGCACCACCACACCTGGCTAATTTTTATATTTTTAATAGAGATAGGGTTTCACCATATTGGCCAGGTTGGTCATGGACTCCTGACCTCAAATGATATGCCCGCCTCAGCCTCCCAAAGTCCTGGGATTACAGGCATGAGCGCCTGGCCAGCATGAATACTTTTATGTCCCAAGTGCCATGGTCAGAGCAACCTCTTACAGTGTTTCTGCACACACTTGCCTTTTGTCTTTTGAATGTTTGGCATGGGGTTATATCTATGCCACTTGATCCGTTAAGTAGACAGATCCCACACTCACAGAAAAAGTTTATACTCAACACCCAGGAGCGCAAAGAAGCTAGTTGTCCAAAAGGCTTCGACTCAGTCACTCATGTTCTGAACCTGCTTCCTGAAATTTCTAGCATCTCACAGCCTTCTCAGCGTCTCTCTCACCTCTTTGCTCCCTGATTTCATGGCCCAGCCATGGGGACTTATTCACCTTCTCTATGCCGGTCTTTCTTGGCTTCATACTTCTGCCAAGATACTTCATTACAGCCCATCCAGGACTTTCTCATTTCATTGTTTTTTTGTTTTGTTTTTAGGCATCAGGTTGGTGAAAAACCTGACTTTCTCTTTTCCCACATCTCCCTGGCACTGGGAGTCTTGTTGCCCCTCTAATAGTGACCGATGATTGGAGAAGGGACAGTATCATCTTCATTGGGTTAGTCAATGGTGACTTCCAATGGTTAATTTTTGTCTTTATTGCTGGTTCTAGTTCTTTTTTTTGAAAGAAAGAAAGAGAGAAAGGGGGAGAGAGAACAGGAGTCTTGCTCTATTGCCCAGGCTGGAATACAATCTAAAAATAGGTATTAAAAACCTCTTTTATGCAGATAATTGTGCTTAACAGCGGAGACAGAAAGGAATAAGGAAAGAAAATAACAAACAGCCAGCCAATATTTCATTTAAGTCTGAAATGCTATGCAAATGCTGAAGAGTGATTTACTTCCAATTATGTGGTCACTTTCAAAATAGGTGTAATGTGATACTGAGAAAAATGTATGTTCTGTGGACCTGGGGTGAAGAATTCTATAAATATTCACTGAGTTTACTTGTTCCAGGTCTGAGTTCAAATCATAGATGTTCCTGTTAATTTTCTATCTCATCGATCCATCGAATATTAACAATGTGGTGGCAAAGTCTCCCGCTATTATTGTGCGGGAGTCCAAGTCTCTTTATAAGTCATTAAGAACTTGTCTTATGTATCTGGGTGCTCCCATATTGGGTGCTGGTTCTAGTTCTTAAGGAACTGTCAAAAACTTTCTTGGGATACCAGCCTGGGCAACATAAACAGGTTATGTTGCCTAAACTCTTTTTTTTTTGTTGTTTTTTTTGAGACAGAGTTTTGCTTTATTGCCCAGGCTGGAATACAAGATCTCAGCTCACTGCAACCTCCACCTCCCAGATTCAAGCAATTCTCCTACCTCAGCTTCCCAAGTAGCTGGAATTACAGGCATGTGCCACCTCGCCCAGCTAATTTTTGTATTTTTAGTAGAGACGGGGTTTCATCATGTTGGCAAGGCCGGTCTCAAACTCCTAACATCAGGTGATCTGCCCACCTTGACCTCCCAAAGTGCTGGGATTACAGGCATGAGCCACTGCACCCAGCTGCCTATTGTCTTTTGAGTGTTCTTTTGCAGAGATCTTATCTCTACAAAAACCATTTTTTTTTTAATTAGCCGACAGAGTGGCACATGTCTGTAGTCCCCGCTACTTGGGAGGCTGAGGTGGGAGGATTGATTGAGCTCTGGAGGTTGACGCTGCAGTGAGCTGTCATCATGCTCCTGTATTCCAATCTAGGTGACGGTCTAGATCCTGTCCCAAAAATTAAAAAATATACCATATGACTGGCCATTCTAAGTTGTTTACCCACCAGAAATGAAAGCTTTTGTTTGCATAAAGACAGGTACATGGCTGTTTATGTCAGCCATGTAACACCCCAAATGTAAAGAAGCTAAATGTCCACCAAGAGGTGAATGGATTGAAAAAATGATGGGTGCAGACACAATGGCTTACACCTGTAAGCCCAGCACTTTGGAAGGCTGGGGCAGATGGATCACTTGAGCTCAGGGGTTCAAGACCAGCCTGGGCAACATGGCGCAACTGTGTCTCGACCAATAAAACACAAAAAATTAGCTAAGCCAGGTGTGTGTGCCTGTAGTCCCAACTACTCAGGAGGCTGAGGAGGGAGGATCACTTGAACCCGGGAGCTCAGGGCTGCAGTGAGCCATGATTGTGCCACTGCACTCAAGCCTGGGAGATGAAGGGAGACCCTGTCTCAAAAAAAAAAAAAAAAAAAAAAAAGGATGGCTGGACAGATTAAAAACAATTAGCTAAGTGTGGTGCTCCTGTGGTCCCAACTACTCAGCTGGCTGAAGTAGGAGGATGCCTTGAGCCAAGGAGATTGAGGCTGCAGTGAGCTGTGGTCTCACCACTGCATTCTAGCCTGAGCGACAGAGTGAAACCATCTCAAAAAAAAAGAAAAGAAAAAACTGTACATATATATATATGTATGTATCCTATGTATAGACATATACATACAATAGGATACATTTCCTCAATAAAAAGCCACTTAATAGAACAAGAGTGAATCTCAAAAAATAATTTTACTGAGTATAAGAAGCAAGATAGGCCAGGTGCAGTGGCTCACACCTGTAGTAATCCCAGCACTTCCAGCACTTTGGGAGACCTAGGAGGGCAGATTACCTGAGGTCAGGAGTTCAAGACCAGCCTGGCCAACATGGCAAAACCCCATCTCTACTACAAAAATTGGCTAGGCATGGTGATGTGTGCCTGTAATCCCAGCTACTTGGGACGTTGAGGCAGGAGGATCACTTAAACCTGGGAGACGGAGGTTGCAGTGAGCCAAGATCATACCACTGTGCTCCAGCCTGAAAGTGAGACTGCATTTCAAAAAATAAAAAGGTAGGAGGAGGCCTTTTTTTTTTTATAAGCAGTGCAGTGGCTCACGCTTATAATCCCAGCACTTTGGGAGGTCAAGGTGGGCAGGTTGCCTGAGGTCAGGAGTTCGAGACCAGCCTGGCTAACATGGTGAAACCCTGTCTCTACTAAAAAAAAAAAAAAAATACAAAAAATTAGCAGGCCATTGTGGCGTGTGTCAATAATCCTGGCTGTTTCGGAGGCTGAGGCAAGAGAATTGCTTAAACCCAGGAGGTGGAGTTGCAGTTAGCCAAGATCACATCACTGCACTCCAGCCTGGTGACAGAGCGACTCTGTCTCTAAAAACAAATAAAAGGGAAGCAAGATATATAAGGAGTTCATACCATGTGAATCCATTTGCAAAACTAGAAAATAGAAACAAATCTACATGCCCAGTAGTACAGTGGCTCACACCTGTAATCCCAGCACCTTGAGAGGCCAAAGTGGGTGGATCACCTGAGGTCAGGAGTTTGAGACCAGGCTGGCCAACACAGTGAAACCCCTCTCTACTAAAAATACAAAAAATTAGCTGGGTGTGGGGGAGGTGCCTATGATCCCAGCTACTGGAGAGGCTGAGGCAGGAGAATTGTGTGAACCCAAGAGGCAGAGGTTGCAGTGAACTGAGATCATGCCATTGCACTCCAGCCTGGACAAGAATGAAACTTGTCTCAAAAAAAAAAAAAAAAAGAAAGGAAAAGAAAAGGCCTTATTTATTTTATTTTATTTTTTTAAAGGCCTGCCACAATGGTTCACACCTGTAATCCCAGCATTTTGGGAGGCAAGGCGGTTGGATCACCTGAGGTCAGGAGTTTGAGACCAGCCTGACCAACAAAGTAAAACCCCCTCTCTTCTAAAAATACAAAATATTTGGTAGGCGTCACATGCCTGTAGTCCGAGGTACTTAGGACGCTGAGGCAGGAGAATTGCTGGAACCCAGGAGGTGGAGGTTGCAGTGAGCCGAGATGGCACCACTGCACTCCAGCCTGAGTGACAGAGCGAGACTCTGTCTAAAAAATAAAAATAAAAATATAGCTTATTCTTTGTACCCTAGTTTCATATAGATAGTACAAATGTGTCTTGAAGATAAACCATATCTCACAAGAAAAGCTGTTACAACTGATCCCCAGACCCACATAATGTGGAGCTACAGGGTGGTGAGGTAGATGTTGACACTCAGGAGAACCCGTCATGGTCATGGTGGGAGGTGGGGACTGCTCACTTGTGTTGAGGCTGTGTCCTTCATTGGTGACGGTAATCACAGAGCGCCTAGGCCTTTGCCCAAGATGCTGACTGGCTGTTTCCTGGCTCTATCGATTCCCTTGGTCAGAAAGAGCCTAGAGCTCCTGTTCCTGGAAAGCAGGGGCCAGGACATATTAATAAACCTAAAGCGCCAGCCATTGGGAGTTTAAATAAAAAACCAAAAAACGCAAGAGATCCAAATGATATTTTGTTTTGGTAGTCTGGAACCCATACACAACAAAACAAACCTCATGGGGAGGGGGTTTCACATGAAGGGAAGATGCTAGTAGAAATCAGTTTGTGGGAAAATGTTTTTTAATCATTTCCAAAGCAATACAGGTTCATTATTTTAAAAACTAAATAGTACAAATCACAAGGTCAGGAGTTCAAGACCAGCCTGGCCAACGCAGTGAAATCTCCTCTTTACTAAAAATACAAAATTTAGCTGGGCATGGTGGTGGGCGCCTGTAGTCCCAGCTACTTGGGGACTGAAGCAGGAGAATCGCTTGAACCCGGGAAGTGGAGGTTGCAGTGAGCAGAGATTGTACCACTGGACTCCAGCTCGGGTGACAGCACTAGACTCTGTCTCGAACACACACACACACACAAACTAAAAACTATGCCAGGCACAGTGGCTCATGCCTGTAATCCCAACACTCAGGGAGGCCAAGGCAGAAGGATTACTGAACACCAACGGTTCAAGACCAGTGGGGCATATAATCCCAGCACTTGAGAGGATCTCTTGAGCCCAGGGTTTTGAGACCAGCCTGGACAACTTCATCTCTACAAAAAAAAAAAAAAAAAAAAAAAAAATATATATATATATATATATATATATATATATATGACCATCCTGGTCAACAAGGTGAAACCCCCGTCTCTACTAAAAATACAAAAATTAGCTGGGCATGGTGGTGTGCCCCTGTAGTCCCTGCTACTCGGGAGGCTGAGGCAGGAGAATTGCTTGAACCCAGAAGGCAGAGGTTGCAGTGAGCTGAGATTGTGCCATTGCACTCTAGCCTGGGTAACAACAGCGAAACTCCATCTTAAAAAAAAACAAAAACAAAAACAAAAATTAGCTGGGCATGGTGGCATGCATCTATAGTCCCAGCTTCCTAGGAAGCTGAAGTGGAAGGATTGCTTGAGTCCAGGAGGTTAAGACCGCAGTGAGCCATGACTGCACCACTGGACTCCAGCCTGGGTGACAGAACATGACCCTCTCTCAAAAAAAAAAATTTAAAAAAAGTTCAAGACCAGCCTGGACAATTAGCAAGACACCATCTCTACAAAAAAAAAAAAAAAAATTAAATTAAATTAGCCAGGCACAACGGTGCACATCTGTGGTCCTAGCTACTCGAGAGGCTGAGGCAGGAAAATCACTTGAGTCCAGGAGTTTGACACTGCAGTGAGCTGTGATTCCATCACTGCACTCCAGCAGTCTAGGTGACTGAGCAAGACCCTATCTCAATCCATAAACTAGAAAGTAGAAGTAAAGGAAAAGACAAATATTCAAAGGCTACTACCCAAATATCTGCATTATTATAATTTACTATATGATATATACAGTAAGTCCTCAACATCATTAATAGGTTCTTTGAAATTATGATTTTAAGCAAAATTACATATAGTGAAGGCAATTTTTGTCCTCATTAACATTATAAAAAAACACTGAAGGAAACAACATTATTTAAGGACCTGCTGTATACCATTTTGCTTAAAGTCACAGTTTCCAAGAAACTGCCAATGAGATTGAGGACTTACTGTATGTATTTCTAGTTTTTTTTGTTTTTTGAGACTGTCTCCCTCCAGCCTACACTGGAGTGCAGTGGCTCAATCTCAGCTCACTGCAACCTCTGTCTCCCAGGTTCAAGAAATTCTCCTGCCTCAGCCTCCTGATTAGCTGGGATTATAGGTGCATGCCACCATGTCCAGCTACTTTTTATATTCTTAGTAGAGACAAGATTTCTCTATGTTGGCCAGGCTGGTCTCGAACTCCTGACCTCAGGTGATCCGCCAGCTTCAGCCTCCCAATGTGTTAGGATTACAGGCATGAGCCATGGCGCCCGGCCTTCTAGTCTTTTTAAAATGCAAATAGTATGTTTTGTTTTTAACAAAATTGTGGACTCTACTTTTTAAAACTTTTTTTGACTTATATAATGAAAAATTGGACTTCTTACAAAAAGATGAACTAGAAGTACTTTCTATGTTACTCCTGCTAGTACAATTAAAAACTCTAGACATGGGCTAGGTGTGGTGGCTCAAGCCTGTAATCCCAGCAACTTCGGGAGGCTGAGACGGACCGATCACCTGGGGTTGGGAGTTTGAGACCAGCCTGACCAACATGGAGAAACCCTGTCTCTACTAAACAAATACAAAATTAGCAGGGCGTTGTGGCGCATGCCTGTAATCCCAGCTACTCGGGAGGCTGAGGCAGGAGAATTGCTTGAACCCAGGAGGTGGAGTTTGCAGTGAGCGGAGATAGCGCCTGTACTCCAGCCTGGGCAACAAGAGTGAAACTCCATCTCAAAAAAAAATAAAAATAAAAACATAAAAAATCTAGACATTATATGTGTAACAAACATGATACTCTAAAAGGTAGAGAGAAGATGGACTAGCTAGGGACTTCGGGACTCAAGAAACCTAGTGTGAGTTCCCTGGGTTTTCTTCTTGCCTCATGTATCCCAGACAATACTGGAGAAGTCAGCAGTCAAAAAACATGAACAACGATGAGACTAGCGCTGGGTGGACAAAATAAGCCTGCTCTCTTTAATCACAGGACCAGGAAAAGATCAGCCTAGAAAGACAAAAGGGACATGTGGACACCAAACTTATAATTTACAATCGCTAAAAAAGAAATATTTAGGTGCAAATGAAACAAAATATATACAGAGCTTGTAATCCTAAAGCTACACAATATTGTTAAAAGAAATTTAAATATATAGCTAAATAAATGAAGAGATAGTCCAGATTTATGCATTGGAGGACTCAACATGGTAAAGATGTCAATTCTTCCACATTGATATCTAGTTTTGTTTGTTTATTTATTTATTTATTTATATTGTTTTTAGACAGAGTCTCACTCTGTTGCCCAGGCTGGAGTGCAATGGTGCGATCTTGGCTCACTGCAAACTCCACCTCCCAGGTTCAAGTGATTCTCCTGTCTCAGCCTCCTGAGTAGTTGGGATTACAGGCTCCTGCCACCATGCCTGGATAATTTTTTTTGTTTGTTTTTAGTAGAGACAGGTTTTACCATGTTGTTCAGATTGGTCTTGAACTCTTGAGCTCAGACATTCTGCCTGCCTTGGCCTCCCAAATGCAAGGATTACAGGCGTGAGCCACCGTGATCGCCGGACATCTAGTTTTAATTCAATTCGTATCATAATCCCAGAAAAATATTTTGTGGATATACTCATGATTAAATTCAAATTTATTTGGAGAGGCAAAGGAACTGGAATAGCTAAAACAATTTTGAACAAGAAGCAAGTGGGAGGAATCACTGTACCTGATTTTAAAACTTATATAACTACAGGAACGAAAATTTTGCTACTGACAGAAAGATAGACACATAGATCAGTGGCACAAAATAGAAAAATCCACACAAGCACAGCCAACTGCTTTTTGACAAAGATGTAAAGGCAATTCAATGAAGGAGTGAAGGAAGGATGGCCTTTTCAAGAAATGATTCTGGAGCGGCCAGGTGCAATGGCTCACTCCTGTAATCCCAGCACTTTGGGAGGCTGACGTGGGCAGATTGCTTTAGTCTGGGAGTTCAAGACCAGCCTGGGCAATATGGCGAAACCCCATCTCTACAAAAAATACAAAAATTAACTAGGTGTGATGGCACATGTCTGTAGTCCCAGCTACTCAGGAGGCTGAGGTGAGAGGATCACTTGAGCCCCGGAAGTTGAGGCTGCAGTGAGCCGAGATTGTGTCACTGCACTCCAGTTTGGGCAACAAACCAAGACCCTGTCTCAAAAAAAAAAAAAGAGAAGGATAAAAAGACAATTAAATTTACAAAGTGGGAGATAATATTTGCAAAACAACTGTCTGACAAAGAACTCTCAAAATTCAACATTAGCCAGGTGCAGTGATATCTGTAGTTTCAATTACTGCTGAGGCTGAAGTGGGAGGATCACTTGAGTCAGGAGTTCAAGGCTGTAGTGAGCTATGATTCTGCTATTGTACTCCAGCCTGGGTGACAGGCTGTCATAAGACAAACAATAACCAAACCAAACAAAACAAAAACAATAAAAATTCAGTTCAAAAATGAGCAAAAGATATAAGAATACATCCCATTGAAGACAATATAAGAATATCAATAAACACATAAGATATTCAACATCACTAACCATTAGGAAATGCAAATTAAAATCATGATAAAGGTCAGGCATGGTGGCTCACGCCTGTAATCCCAGCACTTTGGGAGGCCAAGGTGGGTGGATCACTTGAGGTCAGGAGTTTGAGATCAGCCTGCCCAACGTGGTGAAACCCCATCTCTACTAAAATACAAAGTTAGCCCGGCGTGGTGGTACACGCCTGTAATCCCAGCTACTTGAGAGGCTAAAGCAGGAGAATCTCTCGAACCCAGGAGGCAGAGGTTGTAGTGAGCCAAGATTGTGCCATTGCACTCCAGCCTGAGCAATAGAGTAAAACTCCATCTCAGAAAAAAAAAAAAAAAAATACCCAATGGCTAAATGGTCTTCAAGTTTCTAGGGAGCAACTTATAAGTGATCTTTAGAAGCACAGTTTCTTGTGTCTCTAGTTGAAACAGAAGTGAGAGTCTGTCTCCATTGACTTTCAGCAAGATTGTTCTACAAGGAAAGGGCCAAGGTTTGGGGAATTAGTGTGATGAAGATATCCCATGCTTGGTGTTAGAAGCAGTGACCATGTGGATAGCAGAGGCAGAGGTGCCTAGGCTCCCAGCATGTTTTGTGATTGCCTGAAGGGTTCTTCCTGCCCGTCGCACAGACAAAATCATTTCACTGCAGTAGAGTTTAATTGACGCAAGACCCACCACCACACAGGAGATGGAGTTATTACTCAAACCGGTCTCCCTGCGGGTTTTGAGTTTAGGGGTTTTCAAGGATAGTTTGGTGGGCAGGGGAGGAGA